TATAAGGCGTTGTTCTATATTTGATTAATAGTAAGGGTTATTAATGAACGGTCGTTGTTAATAACTACCCTCGATGAAGTGGATATACTCCCCGATTGAGTATTCGAGAGGGAATAAGTTATAGATATGACAATGATCGACTAAAATATATCAACAAGTGGAAAGTAGCAATGTCAAGTCCTTTTTATCTTTGAATTAAATCTCATATAGGTTGTTCATCTTAGTTCTTAATTAAATTAAATCACTCAAACCAAATCCCCCCTTTTTATTTACTAAGTATCATAAAAAAGAAAATTATTCCTTTCCCTGTGGATACGAACTCTACTACGCTATACTACGTATAAGTGTTTAGTATTGAAATTATTTTGACGCACCGTGACAAAGTGCTCGTCAAATTTGGCGCCGTTGCCGGGGAAAGGCAATTATTTTTCTTTTTATTTTATCTCAATCCAAAAAAAAAAATATTAAAAAAAAAACTTGCTCTTCTATTTTCTGAGCTTATATGAGTAAATGGATACCAACACATCATCGCTAGAGAGTCAAATTTCTAGCTTAACATTTTTAGTAAAGGAGTTTCTCTTATGCTCAAACGTTCAAGATACCAAGGCCTGCAACATTTGCATGTCACAAAGGCATCTTACGGATTTTTGCCCCAAGCGTCAAGAAGAATACTTTGAACAGAGTGATGATGTTGTTTTCCAAGAGAGGTATGATTCATTCTCCAACACATATAATCCGTACTCAAGTTCTTATTCCAGCATGTCCACTGAAGACATGATCCGAGCCCTCACTATCAATGTGACAAAAATGCAACAAGATATGTCGCAGTACCCGCAAGAAACAATGCTCAAAGAACTGAACTTGGAGAATCAATTGAAACAAGTGCCAAACATTGTGAACCACATTGGCAAGGAGGAAGAAGAAGAGGAGCTTACGGAGGGAGCTCAACCAGAGGAGGAGAAACTTCAAAACTCAACTCCATCACCGGCCATTCCTGAGAACATGCCACCATTTTCTGAAGCTCTAAAGAAAACAGAAAGGGTAGAGAAGGACAAAGATGAAATCCTCAGCAAATGTGAGGATAATTCAAATGTACTTTTCGCGGTTGCAAATAAACCGAGAGAATATCATTTGGATTTCTTTTCATTCACCAATATGCAGGAAATGACAGTGGAGTTAAATAAACATTTGATACCCCCTCTCATGCCACCAAGATCAAAACACTTTCCATTGACCATGCTAAATGATAATTTCCTTCCCTTACTCTCACCACATGAATCAACGAAAATCTGGATATTTGATCCTGGAGGGATTTTCAAAGTGAAGGGTCAGAGAATAAAGCATTCCTATGGAAACCCTAGGAGTGAAAATGTGGCGAAGCTAAACTATCACGATCCAAGCTTGAACGATTGAACACAACCATGGCGTCGTGCCGCGACGTTAACTAAGGCGCTTCTTGGGAGGCAACCTAAGCAAAGTATGTTTACTTGTTTTATTTTATTTTTACACATTTCAAAAAAAAAATGGACTGGGATTGGACCCGGCCGGGTATAAACCCTAACCCGGTCGGGTTACTTCCAAAAAACAAAACACCCGGGCAATCACCCGGGCGAGGCATGAGCAAAACAAGAATAAATTTTTCGCCCGACCGGGTAGACTTCCATACCCAGCCGGGCAAGCCAGCAAAAACCTTCTGCCTCGGGTGAACAGTTTACGCCCGACCGGGTACACTACCCCACCCGGCCGGATATCTCGATTTTTGGAAACCAGGCCATTTCTCATTTAAAAAAATGAATCACCCCCCTTTGTCTTCCCTTTCGAACCACACCCCAAATTTCCTCCATTTCCAAAAGTCAAAAGCTTCATATCTCCTACATTCATCCACCAATTAAACCCATTTCATTCATCACCTCTTCACCCTTTTCATCTCCACACTCACGAATCACCAACAAAACCTCCCAAAAAGTATCCAAAAAAAAAACACATTCATTTTAGACACAAGCACTAGGGACAGTGCTTTGATTAGCTTGGGGGCGAGTTTTATGGAATACTCACATTCATACTCTTTATTCTTGTAAAAAAAAATTATAAAAGCTTGTTAAGTTGAAAACCTGAAAGGGCAACTTAAGCAAAAATAAAGCAAAAATAAGAGTGAGTTGTGAGGATTAAAACAGAAAAATGTGGGAAGCTGGGATGAAAACCCGAAAGGGCACCTAGACAAAATGAGAGAACGAGAGAAAGTATTTTCTTTTATTTCTGCAGGATCCTAAGGGTAACGCAAAAAAAAAGGTTGAGGGTGATAAAGAAATATGGAGTTGAAGACCCTCTTTACTATTATATTTTTGGGGATTTACTTTATGTGTTTCTAAAAACACTCGTGGATGTGTGTGTTGATATTCTTGTCATTTTAAGAACTTCTTGGATCGGATTTGATTTACTCGAGACGAGTAAAGGTTTAAGTGTGGGGGTGTTTGATGCACACTAATTAGTAGTGCATAATTACATGTTTTTATGTTTGATTTATGTTAATTGTTTGACGTTTTATTTAGTTTGTAAACATTTATGTGATTTCAGTTGTAATTGTATTTTAGTGTTTATTTGTAAGTTGTAAAGTTTAGTTAGGATTTGTGGTGTTGGAAAGGAAGACTTTGAAGTGAAGAAAAAGAAGATTTGGTTGCCCAGGAGCAAATACCCGACCGGGTATAACACTTGACCCGGTCATGTAAGAAGTGAAAAACGAAAATGCAAAGAAAGTGCATGGCCCGGTCGGGCCCACTACCTCACCCGGTCGGGTGAGAAGTGACCGGGGACAACCCGGCGTGCAAAGATCACCCGAACGTAAAGAATATCCAATTTTTGCACTCACCCGGTCGGGTCCCCTACCCCACCCGGTCGGGTCTGACTTGACCCGGACACTTTAACATGCCGAAGATCGCCAGAACGTGGAGGATATTTGATTTTGACATGCACCCGGTCAGGTAAGTACTATACCCGGTCGGGTACCCGGCCAAAGGTGTTGAAAAACACCTATATATAGCACTTTTTTTCTTCTCTAAAAATGATCCCTTCTTCCATTCTCTTTAGCTCAGTTTAGAATAGCATTTCTTTATATTTTTCTAGCTATGTTTAGTCTCCAAATGAGGAGCTAAACTTCCATTCTTGGTGTTGCTCTTGAAGCTTGTTGATTATTAAAGTTGTGAGTTATTTTCTTAACTTCATTCCTTGAATATTAATTAATAGTTCTTTCCTTAATACCATCTCTATATTGATGTTGAGGAGTGTTGCTAAGATGACAATTAGTTAACATCTCAACATTAGTTAGAATGATATTTTCTTCCTCTATATTAATATTGGGGAGTGTTGTTAAGATGACAATTAGTTAACATCTTGATATTAATTATAGTAGGATTCATCTTCTTTAATAATATTCTTCCTTGAATATTAATTAATCCCTACTCGTATTTCATATTAATATTTTGAACATTACTTAAAGGATCAACTAGTTTTGTTTCATATATTAGTTATTACTAGAAACGATCAACGAACCGATGGTTAATCGTTGATGGTTTCACAAGTAAGTAACTTCGGTTTATTAATGCACGGTCTTGGTTAATAAACTTAAGTGGGATTAATTTTGTTGGTTAAACCGAAACCGCTTGTGTTGAGGTTATCAATCTCAATTGATTTCATCAAGGAGTTAGAAAGATTAAATGCTACTATTAAATCGGTATAAAGCGTTGTTCTATATTTGATTAATAGTAAGGGTTATTAATGAACGGTCGTTGTTAATAACTACCCTCGATGAAGTGGATATACTCCCCGATTGAGTATTCGAGAGGGAATAAGTTATAGATATGACAATGATCGACTAAAATATATCAACAAGTGGAAAGTAGCAATGTCAAGTCCTTTTTATCTTTGAATTAAATCTCATATAGGTTGTTCATCTTAGTTCTTAATTAAATTAAATCACTCAAACCAAATCCCCCCTTTTTATTTACTAAGTATCATAAAAAAGAAAATCATTCCTTTCCCTGTGGATACGAACTCTACTACGCTATACTACGTATAAGTGTTTAGTATTGAAATTATTTTGACGCACCGTGACAAAGTGCTCGTCAGTTGATTTCCTTGTTTTTAATGGGGAGGATGCACATGGGTGGATAATTATGGTAGAGAGGTTTTTCCGGTTGAATCAAGTTAAGGAAAATTAGAAAATACAAATGGTGGTAGTAGCTATGGAGGACAAGGCTCTAAATTGGTTCCAATGGTGGGGAGGAACATACCACGGCTCGTACTTAGGGGAAATTTCAAGGAGGCAGTTATTCGACGGTTTCAACCAGAGATGGTTCAAAACCCATTTGGACCAATGCTTAGCGTGAAGCAGACATGGTCAGCTATGGAGTATCGGGATATATTTGAACTGGTAGTATGGTTGGACTCGGGTCGGGCCACCCGGCCCGTGGACCGGCCCGGCCCGCTACTGTGCGGGACCGGGACCGGACCGGTTCTCGAGTCCGGGTCGGGCCTAGGCCCGGGGGTAGGGCGGGTCCGGTCTCGGGTCTCAAATTTGGTGAACCGGCCGGCCGGGTCGGGCTCGGGCCCGGGCCAAATTGAATTTTTTTTATTTTTTTTCATTTTTGGGGTTCCACCCGGGTTGGGCTTGATGGGTAGGATGGGTTTGGGGGGGTTTGGGAGGGTGGGGGTGAGGGGGGGTAGGAAAGCAAAAAAAAAAAAAAACCGGAGGCCCGGCCCGGACCCGGACCCAGACCCGGTGGCTACCCGAGCTGGTCCCGGGTCCACCATTCCTGAACCGCCGGCCTGCCCGGGCCTAGGCCTGACCCGGACCCGGCCAGGACCCGAGTCCACCCCTAACTGGTAGTAGCTCCCATCAGGAACACTGATAATGAAATGCTTAAGGGTATTTTCATGATTGGCCTGAAGGATGAAATCAAAACAGAACTCAAATTGTAACCATACTCTAAGGGTATGGAACATACCACGGCTCGTACTTGGAAAAAAATGCAGCTTTAAGGGTAAGAAGTTCCAAGGAGGAAGATAAACGTGGGCGGAAAGGGAGAGTGACCTGATTTGCCTTTTATCATTCCAAATTGTTCATTCAAACCATAAAGAGAATTGTGAAGTCGACAAACTTTACCACACTCCCCCTGAGCAACAAATCCCTGAGGTTGCTCAATATAAACTTCTTCCTTAAGGTCATCCTACAAGAATGCATTTTTTTAATGTCCAACTTATGTAAGTGTCAATCATGAGTTGCAGCGAGTGAAATAAGTAACCTGACAGATGATAATTTAGCCATAGGAGAAAAAGTGTCAGAATAATCAATACCATAGGTTTGAGCATAACCCTTCGCAACTAATTGAGTTGTCAACCGAGCAACAGATCCATCTAGGTTAACCTTAACAGGAAGACCCACTTACATCCAATAGACTTCTTCCCTGTAGGTAAGTCTACCAAATCCCAAGTACCATTAAGATCCAAAGCATTCATTTCCTCTACCATGACATGGCACCATTTAGGATGAGACGAGGCTTCATTAACAGAGTACAGAAATAGAATCAATGGAAGCAATAAAAGAACATGAGGCATGGGATAACTGATTATACAACACAAATGAAGAAACAGGATGAGTACAAGACCGTGCACCTCTACGTAGTGCTATCGGGAGGTCAAGATCTGATGTACGGACAAGATTTGAAGATGCATCAAAACATGAGATTGAAGTCGGACTAGTATCAGGATAAGTAATCACAGGTGGAGAGTGATAGAACACTGATAAATCAACAAGCAAAAACAGTAAACAAGCTAACAGATCTAATCTGAAAGGTAGAGAAACTGAAGTTCATTGAAGGGGTAATCCGTAGGTAACTCGGGGACAGGGACAGGGACTTCTTAGGCAACAAGGCAACACACAATTCAAAATAATCGTCTCCCCTAATTAGCTACCCCCACTTCTATTTATAGTAAAAGTCCACGCAGGGACCAAACTGAACTCCTTAGCTAATTTTACCCCCCAAAACCCCTTATTACTCCCTTCTAACAATACTACTACAAGTACCTTTACTATTATTATTATTATTTCTTATTAATAGCCTACTAAGCCATATTCCTATCAATACTCCCCTGAACAACCACCTTGTCCTCAAGGTGGGTGATAGGAATCAGCCAAGATCTTCCAGTTCCGCTTCATTCTTGCACCTCTCCCTTCCCAGTACTTTACTGATTTTTGGGCTTTTAGCTTCTGTGCATGGATCTTCATCATTGTTTCCTTCACCTCTGGGCTCCCACCTGGGGCATCAACATCTCCACCTATGTCATTCTGCTCAGCCCATTTTTCCATTGCTGGTTGGTTTGGTTCAGTAACTGCTGCTAGAATTTTATCCAAGCTACTCCCCAGGTTTGCCTCCATAACAACAATGATGCTGTCCAGTGAAAGAATGCCATCTTCTGCGGCATTTTGGGTACACACAACAACATCCCTTGGAAGAACAAAAGGATCAAATGGGAATCCCTTTGTCATCTCAATAGCAAGGTCAGAAACAATTTCCATATCAAGTACTGAGATACTTCCAGTCACACTGTGTCCTACCCCACTCAATATATCTGGTAATGATGGAGAAAGCCTTGACGTCTTAATAACTTCAACCTGTCTTTCCAGAAGTATGCTAGCCTTTTGCTTTGCTATTGCATCCTTATGAAGAATGTTACTGATGGCTTCAACCAATTCACGTTTGACAGTTTCATTGATAGAATCATTTGTAATAGAAGTATTTGTCTGGTACAACTGCAACAGCCAACAGAAATTGTGTGTAACATTGCTGCCCTGCGATTTCAGATTCTCTAACCGCCAAAGTCCCAAATCTGAGAAGTTTTCTTCTTTCCTTTCCCTTAGAGGCTGAAACACCAGCGATGGCGTTAACAGATTAGCAAAGCCAAGTCCAGAACCTTTGCTTTCATAGCATTCAGGAAATGTTAATTCAACTCCCTTTGGTTCCCCAGGCTCTACTGGTCCAGACAAGATACTCTCGGGGCTGCCTTTCATCCCATCTTTTCTTACAAGAGTGTAAATAAGTTCTATGCAGTTTTCAACATCATCAATAGTCAAATTCAGAATGTGACTAGAACTAATTTTATCTTTGACACCACCAGTCTTTACTTGAGACCATTCACCTGAACATTCGCCCATCTCCCTGCCAGTATAAGAAGCCTCGAAACCAACACATTCACCTTTAATCAAAGATCCATCATCACCATTGGACGAATTTGGATTGGGTATGGTTTGCAGGAATGTAACAGGACTCTCATACTTAGAAACTGATTTGTGAACATCATAAGGTTCTTCCATATTGCAAACTTGGAAATTATACCAACGGCCTAAGAGTAAAAACTGGCAGTTTGAACCTTCCTCATAGTTATTGGTAAATGTCTTGCTCTTCAAACCTTCCATCCACTGCTGAGGTTTGCTCGTATAACCTCCTTTTTCCTTCCATTCCCTCCTGTCTTCATCTCTGAACTTCAAAACAGTGCCTACCAGTTTAATGCTAATCATTAGTATGACTAACTTTTGAAACCATTCTGGATGAGTTCTTCTAGTCAGTGTCTTCTTCAGAGGATTCCATGTATAAGCAGTTGTCTGCTCCTTTCCCCAGGTAAACCCACTCACTGTGATTTCCTCAAACCCCGTCTTCTCCTCATCTGTCTCGCAGTTAAGCTTGAACACTCTGGTTCCCCATTCTGACTTGACAAACTCATTCCCAGAAGAAGCTGTATCAATGAGGGATCCATCCGCGACTGTAGTTTGCTCCTCGAGTTCTTCTTCTGGATTTGGTTCCTTGATTACAGATTCAACTGACTTCATCTCAATATTCGTTATCGAATGCGTAGTCTCCAATAATCTAATCCCCGAATCAGCCATGTCTGGATTTGGTTCCTTGATTACAGATTCAACAGTCTAGACTTCTTACAGTAATTGCATATAACTCTTCTGTCAAATTTACCCGCACAAGACATAATCCCCCCCCCCCCCCCGTTTTTTTTTCTTTTTTTTGTTTTTCAGCAGTTTAATTGAAAATTGAGATAGCGCTGGAAACTTACAGCAACCTTCTCGTTTGTGGGCTCAAAATGTTAATAACCAATCAACTGGGCCTTAACTCCTACGGACTCTTCCTGAAGGTCTGTACTTTAGGAATCCGACGGGAGACCCCAGCATGCAAGACCCCAGCAGATGCGAAGAATCATGCGGATGTCCAATGTCAGACCCCAGCGACCAACCGCAAGATTTCCTCCCACAGATATTTGTTCCTTTGCTAGAGAAAGAACGAGGAAGAAGTAAACGATACGTGGTGGTAGAGGACTTTCAGGCGAGTCTGGGAAAATTCCGATCAAATCTCCGGCCAGAGAAGGTGTGTCACGCGCGGGCGGCTGCGAATACTTCCGGTGGACGTGTGGCTGATGGGCGTAGAATTGGATCTGCATACTTTCAACACCTGGTCGGAAACGGCAGGAATGGTGTAGTCGGAATTTCGCCGGAAAAATGGTCGGACCTGGCAGAGATGGAGGTAGTTTGCTTGATACCTAGATTCTGAATTTGCTTGAACTTGGAGAAAGAATGGTGCACAGAGGTTCTGAACTAAACTCAGGTTCTTTGAGAAAGAACTGAGTTGCAAACTGAATTGAAATCTGAAAAACTAAACTGAAATAGATTTCTCTGCCAGAGGTTCTGAAGAGTCTGGACTGAAATCAATTTCTTGGAGAAAGAACACAGTCTGAAAACTAAATTGAGATATGACACACTAAACTAAAATCTGAAAAGAAAAACTTAACTAAAATGGAAGTCTCTGATACCATGTTGAATTATAAGCTAGAATAATATTGAAGAGTGAAGGAAAGATTTTCTGTGTTTTTCATTAGTTGTGGAAGTCCCTATAAATATACATTACAAATAGAATATTCCTATATAAGATTCTATACAATAATAATATCTATGGTATATTCCTAATATATTCTAAAGCATATTCTAAAGTGTATTCTAATATAGGCTAACATAAAAAGTGCAAATCATCCCTTATATAGGAGGCTCTGTCTGGCCGTCGTCATTTGGGGCGTTTTCGGTGTCATTTTTGATGAAATTTTTTGAGCATCTTCTTCATTAAGTCTAGTTTAACCATACCAAATTTCAGATAAAAATTCAAGTGGGAAGCCAGTCAAATAATTTTCTGAAATGTACTGCGTTATTTAACTGTGCAGTTATCTTCAAAAATTCATTTGAGTGCCTTCCCGATTGAATTTTTAGCTAAAATTTGGTATGAGTAAACTAGACTTAATGAGGAGATGCTTAAATAATGTCACCAAAAAATTCTACCGGGAACCGCCCCAAATGGCGACGGTCAAACAGAGCCTCCCATATAAAGTGTGATTTGCACTTTTTAAGTCAGTTCGAGGGTCTATTTGACCCTTTAGCCTCTAATATACTTTCACAACTATATTTAGTCGGGTTGAGTAATAATGGAATTCCCTTCTTAAAACATAACCGTCGAGCTCCTTCTGTCCCAAGAAATGGAGGTTTGAGTTAAGTCAATTCAACCAAGGTACGAGCCTTTACAGGTAACGAATGACCCTAAAACTACTTCCAAGTTTGTGTAGACACTAATTGACTAAAATCTCTTGGTGCTTGGCTTTACAAGAATTTACTCTAAAATGAAAGTGGTTTTAAAAACCGGTCTCTTATTTAGACAAAAATGTCCTTGAAACAGGATTGTTTTTTCACGGGGGTGTGGGGAGTAGTTTCTCTGGGCAAACTTGGTAGCTTCAAACCACTTAGAGGACATGCTAGATTAAGGTAGTGAGTGGAGTCCATGTAGGTTATTTTGAATGCCTGTTTACTTGCTTACTTCTATGTATGCATGATTGTTTGCTTACTTGTTTAATTGCTTACCTTCTGCACTTTACTTGCTTGTTTCCGCACTGTGTTTGGTTTGGTTTGGTTGTGTTTATAATGATATACAAATTTGAGAAAGGTTCTGAAGTTTGTTACTTCACTTCCTTCACATTTGACAGACGTATTATCAAGTCCCCTCATTTGCCTCTGCAAGAGAACATATAGCCCATGCAAAATCCCCTCTCAGAAGTAATTTGGAGGTCTAACTAATACAGTGTTTGTGTGAATGAGTAACAGTACTAGGGCAGAAAGGTAGATTATATGGTTGGGGCAGGAATACAAATGTGTGTGAAGATCAAATATTTTGAAACTTACCACATACCTCTTCAGAATATTCTTGCTTCCTTTATTCCGACTTCTCAGGAACAGTTTGTTGCAGAAACCGCTGAATGGTCATCCAGTAGTGATCCCCACCTTCTAACCACGTATTCATATGCATTCCAGTAGGAAATTCCACAAATAAGCAGTGGTTGTTATGTGCAGCTGCCTTAGCATATAGCTTTGACATGTGTGATGGGGGGACCATTTCATCTTTTACTCCAGACAGAAAAAGGATAGGTTGTCTGATCTGCAATTAGAAGTCTCAAAGCGGTAAGTTATGCACATTTTTTTAGTTTTCTATTTTTGCTTCAAATGTATGATCCCTAAACTCAAGCGTTATAGCACAAACGCAGCAAGAAGTCAGTCAAGGGAGAGTTGATAGTATATTATTATCATTTCAAAATTACTAACTTTTGCTACTGTGGAAATCCTAGTAGTATTGGGCTTAGCCCATTTGTATATCTTGTATAGAAAACCCTAGTACTCTAAATATAGCTATAAATATAGCTTCTTATATAGCATTTTAATATCAAGTATATGAAATACTCCCTCCGTCCTGGAATTATCTTCATACTTTTCCTTTTCGGTCTGTTCCTGATGGATAGTGTACCCGGGGGTAGATTATCCGAAGGGTTACTGCGGGGAGTAACTTAGAGAGAAGTCAGAGCAAATAAGTAAGAGAGATAAAAAGTTCAAATATGTATTCGAATTGTATTGAGCGTGGTTTACAATTGGGGAAAAGGGTGCTATTTATAGTAGCAATAAATGCTAGATAGGGACACGTGTCAGCATTCTGGCGATCGAGGGGTCACCTCAACCGGGGTGGCGCTGGTATTCGCATGTGGCCGCATTAAATGTGGTGGTTGGATGCGACGTTTGTACTTGGTACAGTGATCCAGCGCATGTGGGTGGGAGATTCTGTCGAGGAGGATGCCTTCGGCTGTAGATGACAGTCCGAAGGCTCTGCGTACCGAGGGCCTTACAGTGCCGAGGGCTCAAATTGCCGAAGGCTTGGTTTTCAAGACTTGTTTTCCTGTGATGTTTCTCAGCCCAATTTCGTCACTGGTAGCCTTCGGCCATGGGGACGAAGGCACCCCTTCATGTATCGTGGGCTGCTTAGAGCTCCATTTTGCTGGGCTTGGCCCGCTTGGGCCTGTTGGGCCTGATAGTAATAGTGGGAGTATGTGGGTCGGGGGTCCCTGGGCCATATACTCCATCAGTCCCAAATTTATCTCCTCATTCCCCTTTTAGCAAATAATTTGTGGTTCACAACCATTCTTACACATTCTTACACATTTCTCTTTCCTCTGCACAACTCTCCACCACACATTTCCCACTATCTTAATATGTGTGCCAATTGTACTTGTGAAGATAAATATGGGACGGAGGGAGTACAACAATAGTTGTTCACATGGTATCAGAGCCACTACAGCAAATATAATTAGTTAGTGTTATTATCTGTCGGTCGGTCAGAAATTCCGGGCACAATCTCTCCGGGGTGAAATTCCGGCGTGAATAATGGTCGTGGATGTCGTGCTTTCGGTGGTGATATAAACCTACTGTCGTCTTCACCTCAACATCGCGACTTACCGTCGTGAAAATCTCCGCCGCCGCCTCATCCACGCGCCGCTGCTGTTCGCATCTGCAGTTGAACGTTTTTGTAGATCTCTGTCTTTCTATTCATCTGCTGTTTACACCACCAACCACCCCATAATACTGATTCCGGCGACCAGAATGGTATAGAGCAGCGCCGCCGCCGACCGTCCACGCGCCGCCATTGCCCAGATCCAGCGTCATCCACACACCGCCGCTCGTCCGTACGCACTGTTTCCGCCGCTGCTTTGTTTCGTCGCTCCTGGACAAAGGTTGGTTTTCATACTCCCTGATTTGCTTCTACTGTTCATCTTCCCAGCAGTCCTGCGAAGGTCTTGGGAAGTTACTGCTCCATTATTTTAAATTTTCTATTATTTGCAAACTGCTGCAAATAATAGCTTTCTCCATCAGTTCTACTGCCTTGAAGCATTGATCGCCTCAGCGGGTTTTATTTTTTATTTCTCATTTGTTTTGTTAATATTAGGGTCTGTTTACTAACAGAGATATTTTCCTGATTTCTACTTCTATTTTTCGTTCTCCAATTTTCTGTTTTTATTTTTCAGTTTTTCTATCTCCGGTTTTCTGTTTCTATTTTCTAGTTTTCCATTTTCAAATCTGAAAACATGTTCATCAATTTTTTCACCCAGTTCTGTGATCATCCAGAAGACTGACACGTTACTTCACATGTTACTAAATGGTGCTTATTAAGATTCACGTTAATAAGTGACACATAAAATAAGCAATGTTATAAGATCATGTTTATTTCAAAAGGTTTAAAACACCGTTTAACATTAAAATGTCCAAAATAACCATATACGTATATATACACACAAACATTCATGAACACAAATATATAATATAATATGTGGGGTCGATCACCTCGTACGTGTACCCATACTCCTAACCCCTGCCCTGCCCTATACCTCGTACCCCACCCTACACCCTACACCCAATTCCACACCCTTGACCCCTACCCCTACCCTTACCACGATCTTACACGCTACCCATACTCCCTTAAAACCATTCATACCCATCCATACCTACTCGTAGGGGTCGAGGTAGGGAAGGAAGTTATGGTTGGGGGTTGGTGGGGGCGGCGTGGTAAGGTCTAGGGGTACGGGGTTGGGTGGGGTAGTGGGTGGGTTAGGGTGGTGGTTAGAAGTAAGGGTGGGGGTAGTGAGTAGGGTTGGCCTAGGGGTAAGGTAGGGGTAGGGTAGGGAGTTGGGATAGGATGGCGATAGGGTGGGACCGGGATCAGGGTGGGGCCGAGGTGGGGGAAGGAGTAGGGTGGGGGTAGGATGGCAGTAGGGTGGGGACGAGGTAAGGGACATGTGGGGAGGGGTAGGGTAGGGTGGGTCGGGGTGGGGTTGAGGTGGTAGGGATGGCGGTAGGGTAGGGTGGATCGGGGTGGGACCGAGGTAGGGGCATGTGGTAGGGGTGGGGATAGGGTCATTGGAGGGAAAAGGGGTATGCGGGGTGGGGGTTGGGTGGGTAGGGTAAGGGGTAAGGTACGAAGATGGAGGTACTAGAATGGAATCGACATCGGAGCGGGGTTGGACCCATCACTAGGTGTAAGTATGCAAATTCATTGAAACAGCCTGTAGCATCTGCATTTTCCAAATTTGGAAAACTAGTAAAAGTCACTTCTCCAAATCATTAAGGAAAAGAGAGACATGTCTCATTTTTTTCGTTTTGGATAACGGTTTGGTAAACGCGTTTTTCTGTTTTCCTTTCTCCAGTTTTCCAGCAATTTTCTTTGGTATACACGTTCCCTGTTTTCTGTTTTCTAGTTTTCCAGTTTTCTGGAAAACTGGAAAATATCTCTGTTAGTAAACAGACCCTTAGCTTTTTACTCTTCACAAAAAAAGGAAAAAAAAGAAAATAAAATCAGTAAAAAAATGTCTTTTATGAGTTCACACAGAGGAAACAACACCGGATGCTCAAGATGGAATCGTCCTCAATGTGATTTTTGTCATAAAATTGGTCATACTAAAGACAGGTGTTGGCAATTACATGGGAGACCTCCTCCCTCAGCCCCTGTTGCTCAGCTACCACCATCTCCCATTGTTCTATCATCGGAAGAATATGCAGCATTTCAACAATTTAAGTTGGCTAATATGCATTTATCCACACACGGGATGTCTACCGCTTGTGTTTCAAACACAACAGGCTCATGGATCATTGACTCAGGTGCCTGAGACCATATTTCTGGTAATCCCCATCTTTTATCCCATATTACCAAGCACCAACATCTTCCTTTGATTACTCTTGCTAATGGCCTTCAAACTTCGACTTCAGGTATTGGGCAAGCACTTCCACTTTCATCATTACCATGAGACTCAGTCTTATATGTCCCAAACACCCCTTTTAACTTTGTCTCTGTCAGTAAAATTACACGTGCTCTTAATTGTTCCGTAACATTTTCTGCTTATTCTGTGATTGTGCAGGACCGTTGTACGGGAAAACGATTGGCGTCGGCCATGAACCTCAAGGTTTGTATCATCTCCATCCTCTTGGTCCAATCGTTTGTGTTTCAGTTGAACCTGCTATTACCTTGCTATTACCTTACATAACTGTTTGGGTCATCCTAGTCTCTCAAAGTTTCAACGTATGGTTCCAGGTTTCTCAAATATTTCATCTTTAGATTGTGAGTCATGTCACCTTGGAAAACAACCTTGTAAATCCTTTCCAAGGCGAGTCAATAAATGGGCTACATCACCGTTTGATTTAGTTCATACAGATGTATGGTGTCCGTATCGAATCACTTCTACTTTAGGTTTCCATTATTTTGTTATTTTTGTGGATGATTTTTCCCGTTACACATGGTTGTTTTTAATGAAAGAGCGTTTTGAATTGTTTCATATTTTTCAAACTTTTTGTGCTGAAGTTCAAACTCAGTTTGGTCATTCTATCAAAATTTTACGCAGTGACAATGCTAAAGAATTTGTTGGTGCATCCTTTAATCAATTCATGGCATCACGGGGTATGCTCCACCAATCCTCTTGTGTTCACATGCCTTAACAAAATGGGGTTGCTGAACGCAAGAACCGATACTTGGTTGATACTGCTCGTACCCTATTATTACATTCCCATACACCACCTCAGTATTGGGCAGATGTTGTGCTCACTGTGTGTCATTTAATCAATAGAATGCCTTTCTCAGTTCTTAACAATGAAATTCCCTGTTCTATTTTGTTTCTTGCTCATGATTTATTTCCATTACCACCTCATGTGTTTGGGTGTGTGTGTTTTGTCCATGATATGACACCTGGATTAGCTAAAATGTCGGCTAGGTCAATAAAATGTATCTTTCATGGATATTCGCGACTCCAAAAGGGATATCGTTGTTATTCTCCATTACTTAAGAAACATTTTATTTCAGCCGATGTCACTTTCATTGAGTCATCCTTTTATTATCTATTATCTTCAGTTGATACCCCATCATGTTTGGACTTCACCTCATATCTCCGACCCATCCATCTGGAGACTCCCATTAACCCCTCATCTGATGAGCACCCAAATTGCTCTCCTATGGCAGACCATCCATTACAAGTATACCATCGACGTCCTCGACCTCCTCCCATTGTGGCCACGCCAGTTGAATCCCCTATGACGGATCCCGCACCATCATCATCAGATACCCCAGTACCCGAAATTACTCGGGATGATTTGCTCATTGCTCTCCGAAAAGGTACGTGTTCTACTTCGAATCCACATCCCATATATAACTTTTTGAGTTATGCTTTTATTTCCCACCTGTCTCATATATGCATTCCTAAAACCACACATGAGGCACTGGCACACTCGGAATGGCGTAAAGCCATGTTGGCTGAGATGGAGGCTCTTTATTCTAGTGGGACTTAGTCCCTCTTCCCACTGGCAAATCAGTGGTGGGATGTCGGTGGATTTACATTATTAAAGTTGGGCCTGATGGGGAGATTGATCGTTTTAAAGCACGCCTTGTGGCGAAAGGGTATACTCAGATATATGGTTTGGATTACACTGACACTATTTCTCCTGTAGCGAAGATTGCATCAGTTCGTTTGGTTTTATCCATGGCATCAATGAGCCACTGGCCATTGTTCCAATTGGATATTAAAAATGCATTCCTTCACGGAGATCTGCACGAGGAAGTTTATATGGAGCAACCACCTGGATTTGTTGCTCAGGGGGAGTCTGGTATGGTGTGCAGATTACGTCGTTCATTATATGGCTTGACGCAATCTCCACGTGCATGGTTTGGGAGGTTTAGTGCCGTTGTCTGCAGCTTTGGCATGATTCGCAGTGATGTAGATCATTCTATATTCTATCGACATTCTGCTGGCAACAAATGTACTTATCTTGTTGTGTATGTTGATGACATTGTCATTACAAGTAACGATGATCAAGGAATTGCGCTCCTCAAGCAACATCTCTTTAGCAAATTTCAAACAAAAGACTTGGGAAAGTTGAGATACTTCCTTGGCATTGAGGTCGCACAGTCTCAAAATGAAATTGCTCTCTCACAAAGAAAGTATGCCTTGGATATTCTTGAGGAAACGGGTTTGCTAGATTGCAGGCCAGTGGATACACCAATGGATCCGAACGTTAAACTCTTATCAGAACAGGGAGATCTTTTGCCCAACAAGGAAAAATATAGAAGACTCATCGGCAAATTGAATTATCTTACCATCACGAGACCAGATATTTCATTTGTGGCAAGTGTTCTTAGTCAGTTTCTTGATAAGCCATGTACTGGACATTGGGATGCAGCTATCCGAGTTTTGAGATACATCAAGAAAACTCTGGGGTAAGGATTGTTGTTTGAAGATCGAGGCCACCATGATATTGTGGGATAATGTGATGCAGACTGGGCCGGATGTCCGATGGATAGACGTTCCACTTCGAGATATTGCATCTTGATTGGTGGAAACTAAATTTCATGGAAAAGTAAGAAACAGGATGTGGGAACAAGCAGAATATCGTGCCATGGCCCTTGCTACATGTGAAATCTTATGGTTGAAGCATCTCCTCCAAGAGTTAAAATATGGAAACACAAAACCGGTTCAACTCATGTGTGATAATCAAGCCGCAATGCACATCGCATCAAATCCGGTATATCATGAGAGGACAAAACATATTGAAGTTGATTGTCATTTTATCCGAAAGAAGATCGCGAGTGGACATATCATCACAAAATATGTCAACACAACTGAACAACTTGCAGATATTTTAACTAAGTCTCTTATAAGTCCTAGAGTGGGATATATGTGTAACAAGCTTGGTACATATGATTTATATGCTCCAACTTGAGGGGGAGTGTGGAAACCCTAGTAGTATTGGGCTTAGCCCATTTGTATATCTTGTATAGAAAACCCTAGTACTCTAAATATAGCTATAAATATAGCTTCTTGTATAGCATTTTAATATCAAGTATATGAAATACAACAATACTTGTTCACAGCTACTTAAAAAAAAATCAAAAGACTAATCAATTCATCATAAAATAATTTTTCCTGCAATAAGCATCCTCTTTCAAGGGTAATAACTCAAAATCCTCACCTCACTAACAACATCAATGGTGTTCCACGGAGACCTAACAAGAAAGTTAAGAAGTTTGAGACCCTTTGAACCACTGCCTCCAATGAACCACTTCAAGAAGGGAAGGAGAACTCCAGCCATGTCAAGGATAGAAGTGAAAGTATTCTCCAAAATAAGTGCAGACACCTATATCATTCACATCAGTATATTGTAAAATAGAACAGCAGAATGTCGTCTGAACCATAACAAGATGCCTCTAGAAAATCCATTCACCAACATAAGATTAATAAAAGAATGAATTGATGGTGTATGCAGGAAAAAAGCAAACATGAAATCAGATTGAATAATGAATTTTTTGGGGGTGGCTCAAATATTTGTATTACTGTATATAGGCACAATAAGTACTGATTGGATTATTGAATTGATACACCTCATACATTATCAGGATTATTTTTAGTAAGTACAGCACCAACTGCTCCGCCAAGCGACCTTCCAAAAACAAATATTTTTGATGTCTCAATATCTGTCCTCTGAATCAGATGATCTAATGCTGCCTATATGTAAGACATCAAACATACATTAGAATTCAAGCTGAATTAAATATGGTGACAATTGGTGAGACAATGTTCCAGAAGCATACAAACCTGAGCATCCTTTATGATTCCATGTTGAGAAGGGTATCCATCACTGGCCCCATAGCTGTGTACGAGAAAAAAGTGTATTATTACAACGCAACAAAAAGTTACTGCTAAAATAAACTACAATAGATGAAGACAGTAATCATCATACCCACGGTATGAAAGCATAAAAACATTGCACCGGAGTCGTTGTATCATTAGGTTAACCATTTCAAGACGATGGGCAATGTCTGAAGTAAAAAAGTCAAGGCTAAAGCAAGCGCTTCCGCCAGTGATTGTTATACGACACCTTTTAAAAGGGGGTCAATGGTCCTCTCTATAGGGTATTGGTTTTTACTCTTCTCTATGAAACGTTTTCTTTCACAGCTTGCCCCTGATAAACACTGGGTTCATGTTCACTGTAAAAAGTATTCATTTATGAGGCACAATAAAGGTAAAATTACTAAATTAGAATATAATAATATTTTTAGTAGCTCAACATAATATTTACTTGCGTTGAGCAATTTGGTCAATTGTGTCTTAAAATAAGGACCAGGAAAAGTACAAAAATGTCGCGAGAAGAAATTTGAAAACAATCATAGGCGACAAGAAAAAAGGCAGCAGGAGACAAGGATACTTCCTGCATTTTCCTGAAAAAAGAGGATGGTTGGGCTACCTGCAACACAAAAGTAAACCCCCGGCAACTTTCATGAGAAAACTTGCATAAAAAGCTGGAAAGAACTCATTCATAATCTGCAAGTGGGTGAAAAAGGAATATAAGAGGGGCAAAAGGGGTTCTTGTGGATGTGCGCATAGTTTGTTTCTTAAGTGGCTTGACATTCATTATTACAAACACATGGGAGATCTACAATCAGTATTGTCAATTCCAGATAGTGGACAGAGCGGCCTACCCTGAAAACGCTACAACGGCATAGCGGATAGCGGGATGACTGCAGCCTACCCCAAAAATGCTACACCAGTATAGCGCATAGCGGGATGACTGCTATTTGGATAACTTTTATACCGAAAACAAGATTATATGTATATATAATAACATACAACATACATATCAAATGCATAAAATGACAAATACTGCTCAAATTCCCAAACATCATGCCATTCATATTAGAATCTTTCTAACTATTCCACTTCTAATCATGATGAAGGTTGTCTCGTGTTCACTTTAACAAGGCAATAGGCTCCACGCTAAACAAGTTTTGAGACTAGTGATAGATGACTAAGAAGAGTTGAAAGTAGAAGATGAACCGTAGTAGTCGAAAGTAGTTGAAGAAGCAAGGTCTCTAGCTGATGTTAAAGATTTTCTGATTTGGTGTGTAGTTTTTTGAGCCACGACGCTGGTCATCAAAGAAGCAGAATAGAGATAACTAAGAACAATATGTTAGAATGTTGGGATGGGTTTTACGTACATGGATGGGTTTTAGTTGGGTTAATTTTTATTCTGAAAGCCTACTTTACCCCTTTAAAAAATTAAAAACCAAAATTTCCTCAAAATTCTCTAATCCTAGCCCAGACAACTTAGGAGATCAATAGCGCCCGCAATAGCAGCCGTTATATCCGCTACAGAGGCTCTAGTAGCACCCAGGTGCCGCTCTGCTCCGGTACACCGCTATAGCGCAATATTGACTTCACTGTCTACGACAATCTTAGTCTAGCCACAAGAGAAGCATCACTAGAATTTATATCACAAGCAACTTAATAGCCATTGTTAGCATCAGGGGGAGGCGGTTAACATCATAAATGGAAGTAACTAAACTACATTTCCCATTTCGGATGCTAATTTCAATATTAGCATAGAATTAAGTAATTAAGTATATGGTTCAAAAATTGAAACTCCTCCAAAAGCACAGAAACTCGTCATAAACCTAAAGCAAATCACTACACCCGACTCTAATAAAGTGGCATTGGCAAGAAATTAATCTCTGGTTCTGAACATAGCCAATAAGTTATCCAGTATTAATATAGGCCCTTGGCTCATAGCCTATGTAGCACCAACATGGAACGCAGAAACGCGGAAATGGGTACGGGTATACGAGAAAACAAAAAAAATGATACAAATATAGGGGTATTTTTATAAATATTAAAAATGTGAGGGTGTTTTTATAAATATTAAAAAATTACAAGAACTTGTTTGAAAATATATAGATGTAATTCATACTCTGACAAATATCCCTTGTCCATTCATGTCATTCAACCATTTCACATTACCAAGATAGTTAAAAAATAAATTCATACTCTTTAGCTCATATAATGTCGTGCATCTTGAAATATAAATATAGTTACTTAGGATGTTTTTACTTGGTCTGGTCTGGTCTAGTCTGAATTGGTCTGGTTAATGTCTGATCTCTGTGTATTTTATAACTATAAAAGTTTGGTCTCGTCTGTTTAAGTCCGGTCTAGGACTGAAAACAGTCCAAGTAAAAACATCATTAATCACACACGAGAAACAAGTCAAACAACCATTGTTTCGAAATTAAAATTGCATGTACTCAAAGTTCTTAGATAGAACATAATACTCTAATTAAAGGACTAGAAGTTCTAAAAAATATTTCCACTTGAGCTAGTAATTTCCAATTGTAACACATCCACTTTAAAAAAGACAACTTCCAATTCTATTTCATCTATGGAAAGGTTGTTGAACTCATGTACTACCTTATCTTACATGCTCCCAAAGTCATTTTCACCGACATGACAACATCTCACATTTTACTTTTGTGGTCCATATACTGTTTGGAAACTCTTGCTAAAAGACCAAGGTTGTTATGAATAAATACCAAATCTTCTGCACATTTGGATACTGAGATAGGTGTATCCGATTTTTTTAAATAAATAAAAAAATGGAAACTTTTAATAAATTTCGAATAAGGCATGGGAGAATACTGTACGGGAATGCTAGAGTATTTGGTACGGATACAGTAGCCTAGGCAAGTCCGGCTGACTTGGCTATGCTACTTAAGCAGTTATACCTCAATGACATAGTAAAGTCCGGCTGACTTTAGCATGATCCTAGTGAAGAAGCAAATCAACATAAGATCGCATTGCCAAACTGATATTAGGTCAATTTAACTTTCAATGTCCAGTTTCTTTTTCAATTTCCCAAATCCCATACAAACTAAAGGATATCAGATCCCCACCATCAACTTTTAAGCAAACTGGGCTCAAACGCAGGGAATAAAAGTCATAAGTATTTGCATGGGCGAACCTTTGGGGAAAAGCTTGATGAACCAGGCATGAAGGCGTACGCCATCCGAAGATCTAAGCCAGACATCTTCATAGAAAAGACTAAGACGACTGGGTGTAATTGGATAGGACTTGGTGAGGCCAGGCAACACTGGCACATACACGAGCTTCTCCTGGAACGCCACCAGTAGCGCCATTCCGGCCATCACTATCCCTCCAACTCCGTACAGCAAGGGGCTCATGTACGACCCCATCCTAAACTTTGAATTCTCCCCTCGATGTGTAATTGTATGTGTGCTTCTACCTCACAAATCACAATCTGTATCCCTGCTTTCCAAGTGATGGAACTTTAAACGTGTAAAGCAAGTCAGCGCCTACATAGTACAACGGGCGGTAGGTACACCCGGCCCAACCACGGAACAGAGTCCAACAATTAATATAGGCCATTTGTTTTTGTGTATCATTTTTAAGAGAAATAGTATACTAAGAGAAATAGTATACTTCTAGTGAGCATCCGATTTGTTTTTTTGAGTATTAGGATGCTAATAATGAGTATCACGATCTCTACTTCATATCTTTTAATTCTTTTTCTTTTTCTTATTTTTTCTTTTATAAAAAATTATTAAATTATATCTATAATTCACTCCTATTAATTTCAATATGCGGGTCTAATGAGCATACATAACGAATGAGCATACATAACTTATAAAGTGCACATTGATATGAAAATCGTAAGAATTGTTAGTTGAACATCACGACATTTTAATTGAGCATCAAACATCCGCTATTGAGTTGAAAATCATGGTTTCTGGTGAATAGACACTAATGAACTTTTAATGTGCATCAGATCTATTATGAGCATTAAAACACTTTCAATAAGCATCAAACTTATTAGGTTGAGTATTAGGAACCTAACAGTGTGAATCTAATGTCATATGCAACTTTTAAAATTTGCATGAATGTGATATTTTAAAAATAAGCATAATATGAGTACAAATTGAACAAAAGTAACTCAAAAAAAATGAGTATTGATATGTGATGGTACCATGGATTAAGACCATGGTCCAATTACAGAATTATAATTAAAGCCCATAAACAGGATCAGTCTTTAACGGGACAAAGCCCATGAACAGGGTCAGCCCTCAACGGGATAAAACTCATGAACAGGATCAGCCCTTAAACGGGATTAATATTAATTAGTCGCTAGGCCAAACTAGGAATCTTATCCGTAAAAGGAACCCACAGCCAGGCTGGGCTGGACAGCAGACCTCGAGCCTGGGCGGAGTTCTAGCGAGGACGGGCTCTTCCTAAGGCTTACATGACAGGCTATCATTCGTGCATAGCTATCTGGCAGCAGGCATGAGTGACGGAAGAAACGTAGACCTAGAAGAAGTAATCATTGCACAACGGCCAAGACGTTACATGACTCTTATATAATTAATAGCATTAAATGTATTAGTTTCCTCGTAGAATACTAGTTTCAAGGTCTATAAATACTTCATGTACTTGTCCTACCAAGGGACCGGATTTCGGAATAAGAATACTGCCTCACGCTTCCTAAATTTCATCTGCTCTCGTAGATATAGCGCTCGTAGTTGGATTAGACTCCATCATTTGGTGCTCTTGTTGAGAGAACGATCTACGGCGACGATGGTTGGATCACATAGCCACAACTGTGTTAGTAGCAATCAAGGTGGTGCACGTTTCGACCAGGTCATGATCGAGGATGAAGGTTCTAGGTCGCGGCAAAGCGATTTCCAGAGAAGAAACGACAACGTGGTGACCCCGGGTGATTTGAGGAACCAGCTTCAGGGCGTTGGGAGTTCTAGGCGCCCGGCAACGCGTCCACCACAGTTCCAGATGCCGGCCATCGGGAACCTCATCCCAACTGTGGATCCGACCCAAGCTTTGGCGACTTTGGCTACGTTCCAGGGGGTCGTGGAAACATTAACCACTGCCTTCCATAGAATCGTTCCCAATACCAATGAAAGACCTTTGTCTCCGCACCGAGCTCCATCTATTCCAACGCGGAACGAGGAAATATTTGCCCAAAGGCAAAGGAATTCACCACCGGTAAGGTCTCACCATTCTAGGCAATCATTGAGGACCTCAGTGATGAACAAGAATGGAGGACGGAGGGTATTCGTGCATGACAGACTCTCCTCTCAGGCAGAACGGGGTGAGGAAGTGTCCTCTGCGGCTGTCTCTTCCCACCGTCGCAGTGCGCGTGGGGGAGATCTCCGGAACGAGATCAATGCAAACCGGCAGGCCCGCGGAGATCACCCTTCTCCACCCCATGCCCGGGCAGGCTATGATGATGACGACCTCAGGAGGAGACTGGACGAGCTTAGGAGAGCGATAGATGGTCGGGTTAACCCCAACCATAATGTGAGGATTCCCGAGCCATTCATCCGCCAGATTATGGATGCCCCACTGCCACATGGGTATAAGCCCTGTAACATTGAGGCCTACCAGGGAAAGACCAACCCCCAGCATTATGTCTCTAGGTACATGGCATACGTGGTCATGATGGGATACAACGACGCGATCAGATGTAGAGGGTTGTTACTGACACTAGACGGTCCAGCCCAGAAGTGGTAGGACTCCCTGCTTGACGGAAGGATTCAAAACTTCCGGGAGTTAGCCGAAACAGTCATTGCGCGGTTCGCCAGCTCCAAGAAGAACTTCTCTCACCTCCTGGGAGTCACACAAGGACGCCAGGAGAGCTTAGCCGCCTTCCTAGCTCGTTGGAGGGATGAATCGGTGAAGGTTGACGGTCTGGATGACAGATCCGTCGTCGCCATTCTCACCAATGCCCTGAGGTCGGGTGAGTTGTATAAAGAATCCGTACGACGTCCCCCAATCTCACACGAGGAGGCCCTGCGGCAAGCCGATGCACAGGCCGAGGTGGAAGAGGCTGAAAAGCGGAAGAGGGAAGAGGAAGAAGGAAAGCACCAACCTGAAGATGGAAAGAAAAAAAGTTCAGAAAAGGAAACCCACGACAGAGACAAAGAAAGTGGGTCCAAAAGGAATAAGAAAGGTTGGGGAAAGAGCAAATTGGGTATTCCTGATGGACCTCTATTCGGCCAACCAGAGTTTTCGCATTTGACACATCCAATTAGCACCATCCTGGATTATGCGGCCAATCAAGGTTGATAACAATTCCTGAGAAGTGCAACGTCGTCAAAAACCAGTCCACTCAAGGTAAGTATTGCAAGCTCCACAAAAGCGATACTCACAAGACTGACGACTGTTATGTTCTCAAAAAATATGTGGAAAGGCTCATCTGTGAAGGACAATTGGACCAGTTCGTGAAAAAGAGCTGACAGGGAGAAGCCCCTCCAAGAGGGAACACCTGGAGCAGGGGAAAAGACGGGCTGACCTCAACCTCTAAAAAGAGGGAGGTCGGAGCCTAGTTCAAGGATGCCAAAGAGGGGGAAGATTCAGGCCAGCAGAAGCGCCCGCATGTCAACCAGATCTATGGTGGACCTGTGGGGAGAGATACTGTGGGAGAGCGAAAGAAGTGGGGTCGCCAACTGTTCATAAGGGAGATTAACCGCCTACCTGCTGACAAGAAACAGAAGCAGGAATCTATCATAATCACAGATGACGACTTCCCACCTTATCCTCCACCCCACACGGACGCCCTGGTTGTAAAGATGGAGGTGTTGGACACGATTGTCCATAGGGTTCTCATAGACAATGGCAGCTCAGTCAACATATTATACATGGATACTTTCCTAGAGATCGACCTCAAGGAGGAAGCCTTGAAACCGGTGAAGACCCCCCTCTCAGGTTTTACTGGAGACTTAGTCGAACTTGAGGGATTAATCGCCCTAAAGGTTCAGCTCGGATCAGAGCCATGCATACAGGTCGTCGAGGCAGATTTTGTGGTGGTAAGGCTGCCAAGCGTTCATAAGGCCATTCTAGGTCGACCTCTTCTGGAAGACCTGGGAGCCATTATCTCATAGGTTCACTTATGCATGAAGTTCTACACGCCGGCCGGGATAGGCACGGTGAGAGGAGATCAGAAGATGGCACGGAGCTGCTATGTGTGGGCCTGCAAAACTCACAGGAGGAATGATATAACGGTCAACGCCATCGAACAAGACTTGTCAAAATATGAGGATCCAAAGGCAACTCCCGTGAAGCAGAAACGAAGGTACCTATCCTTAGATCGAAAGGAATTTGTAAAAGGGGAGGTAAGCATGTTGTTAAGTATCATGCACATTAGGGAAGTACAATATCCAGAATGGCTAGCCAACGTGATCATGGCCCCTAATCCGCCAACCTAGAGAATGCGCGGAGATTACACAGACCTGAACGAGGCTTGTCCAATGGACCCTTTCCCTTTACCAAGTATAGATCAATTGGTGGACCACACAGCTGGATGTGAACTCTTTTCATTTATGGACGGATTCAGGGGGAACCACCAGATCTCCATGCACCCCGACGACGCCGAGAAGACATCCTTTATCACTCCGGAAGGAGTATTTTGCTATCTGGTAATGGCATTTGGACTACAGAAATCCGGAGCAACGTATACCAGAATGGTATCCAGGGTGTTCCGAGCTGTGCTCGGAAGGAACATGGAGGCAAACGTGGATGACATGATTGTGAAAAGTCAGAAAGCATGGGATCACGCAGACGACCTCAGGGAAGTGTTTGACATCATGAAGAAGGTGAACCTGAGACTTAATCCTACAAAATGCACCTTCGCAGCCCAATGTGGAAAATTTATGGGATTTATGGTGACCCACAGAGGCAGTGAGTCTAACCTAAAGAAGGTCAGGGCAATCTTGGAGATGGACCCCCCCAGGAATGTGAAAGAAGTCCCAATCCTCACAGGGAGATTAGCAGCCCTGGGAAGATTCCTATCCAGGTCAGCCAACAAATCCTTACTATTCTTCCAGATCTTTAAGAAGAGCAACGGGTTTGAATGCACCCAAGAATGCCAACTCGCTTTTGAAGACCTCAAAAAGCACTTGCAGACAAATTTATTACTCAACAAGCCTGAGGTCGGCGAAACACTTATTCTCTATCTAGGAGTAACCCAGAGTGCAGTCAGTTCCATTCTAGTACATGAGCAAGGAGTTGTGAAGAAGCCAGTCTATTACATCAACAAGGTTCTCCATGGTGCCGAGCTCATATACCCGGCCCTGAAAAAACGTCTTGGTAGTATACACAGGAGCCAAGAAACTGGCCCACTACTTTCAGGCTCATCCTATCAAGCTCTTATGAGACCTAGGAGTGGGTACCTTGTTCAGAACGACCAAAATTTAACGAGTTGTGAAGTGGTCCTTATTGATGAGCCAATACAAAGTAAGTTTCCAACATAGAACATTCATCAAGGGTCAAACTTTGGCAGACTTTGGAGTAGAATGTACTGCACGAGATGATGCCGAATAAAGACGTCGTGATGAAGAGGATTGGTGGGCTCTGATGACTGATGGATC